CAGGGTGCACCACGTGGAGGTAAGTCTATCGCGCACCCTAGTTATCAAAGTATATGGAGGTGGAAACTGCAAAATAAGCCCTGATAGAACTTTAACACTCCTCTCTGGCAAAATCATCTAGTGCGAAATTCGCCCGTAAAATAGGGTATAGATGAAGTGTTTAGTAAGACCTATGGCCAACTGTAAACGTGATTAGTGCATGATCGCTAGTGGGGGTGAATAGATGGGAAGGCTTGCACGCACGACGGCACATGCCCGCAATTAAATCATTAGCTTACTCGCACTTTCAAGAATATTACACCACGCTTGAGGTCACTTTGATTAGTCCTGTTAGTGCCGTACACTCCAGTACCTCTAACTTGACAACGTGAATAAGTTGTTCAATTGAATCGTCCAATTCTCTGGGCTACAGTACAATGGAGAGTATATTCAAAATCGATTTGCTAGAATGTATCCATCCTTACGTTTTCACATGCATACTATACTTCAACAGAATCGATCCCAAAGTATTCAAGGTGTAAAGTTAGACATTTTATTTCAAAATCCCTATGATCCCAAGAAAATGTGAAGACTCTTGAAACTTGAGGTATGAGGTAATTTTTACTAATAAGACAAAAGTAAGTAGATACCAAGATAGGTGAAGTGCCACTTTGATTCACTTGCATATCCATTGAGGAATATTGCAGCTTTTTATTGTACACTTGCTTTAATTGCCTGGCTATCGTAAAGCGCCTTGCATCTGTTATGCATCCAACCATTAAGTGCCTTTATTTTGCCCCACTTCCAGACACGAGTTTTCATGGAGAATAGCCCTCCAAAGGACTGGCAATAAAACCCAAGTGGATGCAACTCCGATGCGACCTAGTGTCGAAACAAAATATGCATCATAATACACTATCAGAAAATAGAAATAATTATTACAGACTAAGTACTACAATGAATTTGTTTGATGATCTTCACTACATGGCTACATAATTTGAGGAAATTGGAGGGGGGGGGGGGGGGGAGAGGGGNAGAGGGGAGGCCCACAGTGAAGGAAATTTTCGTCTCACAACACTTCGACGTGTGATATTGCAGTCATTTTGCACCGCTAATGACTTAAAGTAATTGAGCAGTACAGTAGCTGAGTACTTCCTTCTACTAACATTCACATATGTTTTTTTAAGGACACTGGAATTGACGTTATTGGTTGACTCATGCATGGCTGGTTGATTTGCCTTTGTTAAAAATATTGTGCAAGTTATCTTTCCCATTCCTTTATTATCCGATGATTGGAAAAATTTTTGGGGTGAATTTTCAGAGCAGTAAATTCTCATTTACTAATTGACTTACTCATGAATAATAGAATATTATACTTAGTTGCTTTGGAATACATGTACATTCATGTTCCTTAAAATAAAATTAACGAATATGCCAATATTTGACAAATAATTTAAGTGAAAGGGCTTGTATATAGCCAAATAAGTACAAATATTTCCTGTGAATTTTAGTTGCAGTTTATACTAGTATGATTAACAAAATATGTTTTAAGGTAGTACATGGAGGATTGATACACGAATAAGCATAGGCTTATCATCTCCGATCTCTCAACCGTATGAAGGAAATAGGCGTATGGCAAATATAACGTTAATTAAAATTATGGTCACAACAGACGCAATTAGTAATCGAATTCACTCAACTTAACCTGGATGAATCTTAACAGTTGTCTAGCTGAGAAGTCCCCTGTGCGCACGAATGTTCATGCGCGGGGTTTAATTGAGCTAATATTTATATCAAATGGCAGGCGTTTTGATGGTTATCATTAGCCCTTTGGCTGACTTCAGGCTTACAGAGGGGAAGGAACATCAAAGTAAAAAAAAGTCGAGAGGAGGGTGGGGGGGGGTGAACAGAAGAGTGTTTCAAAGATGCAAAAGAAACAGTCACAAAGGTAGAAAAAGGGTGAGGTGGATACTGTAGAAGAAGTTGAATTTGACATACAATGGGGCATGGTAATTTGAAGTCAGAAGTCAACTGCCTGTTAATAGACTTGTTTGCCGTATGAGTATACGTTGCCCAGGGTGCACCACGTGGAGGTAAGTCTATCGCACACTCCACATGAGTAAAATATCAGGCTTGGGGTAAAGACGATCAAAATCCTATGGCCGACACGATTTTGTGTTTTCCACTTTCATATCTACAACTTTGCCAACAAGAGGTGTGTTTATCATTTTGCCTCTCAAAATTGGATAAATGACTCAAAAGTGTATATCATATCACTAACGAGCATTTTTCGATATGTAAATAATAAGATAAAGCTGGATAACACTTCAATGGTTGGCCACTAAGGAGCCGTGTCGCCATTGGTCAGGACAGGAGTTACTATGGTTTGAATAACGACATTCATTAAAGCAAAGTGTCCTCGCAAGTTTACCAAAGATGTCTATCTCTGGGTGAACGGACCAATAGTTCCCATAATCAAGTGGATTGAAATTAATTACCAGTATCAAATACAATACTCCTATAGTAGTAAAAAGTCTTTAAGCAGTGTCTATGCGGAAAACATCAATGCTTTGGAGGAAATTTTGGTATAATAAGTATCGTGCATCTGGGTAAGAAGATATTTTGTGAAGTTGTTGTTATAATACTTATAATGAAGTAGGTATTTTCTCATCTCTTCCACTACCAGTTCCTGAATCTAGTTCTTTGTCTTTTATGTCTTCAATAGTCTGTCTTATGGCTAAGCGTGTGAAAAAAATCAATTGGAACATTTAGTCAAAATGTCAAAGTGCGTTAATGCCTATGAGAAGTAGTAGATGGTTCATTGTTCTACGTATCCCAGAGAGAAATGTTCTCCGGAGAATAGAGGTTTAAACTCGTCCTTGTAAAATTACTTTTAACTTGATAATATAATCACACACACCTTTGACTGTTTCATAACTTCTATTTGTATGCTACTTAGCATGGCTTATATTTGAATCCATTTAGCTGACGTTCTAGGATAGCATTGTTTGTAGCTTTATTATAAACTATTTTGTAAAGGTACTAAAATAACTTTATTTAGAACTTCTAAAATCTGAAAACTGTAGACAATTTGTGTCTAGTTTTAAGACTCGTTTGAATACAATTTGTTCATTGCTGATAATACAAAATATTCATTAAATTTGTTAAAAAAATCTATGGACACGGATATCTTGGTGTTCGGTAATTTGTCAGATAACTTTAGATTTTTCTTTAATTTACAAAAATCGATAAATTAGAAGAGTCTTTGATAAGTGGAATAGCTTTCAAAGAGATTGGAATCAGTTACCTCCTGCCCTCCAAACATTAAGGTTATGAAGGGGTAAGATATTGCCAAACGGGGTGAGGCGTATCAGAACTTGGCCGAACAAGCTTTAAGCAAAATACATTGGTTGGTGCTTGAAAGGTTGTTTATAATTCACTCATTAAAAGTGGTGTGTGCAAAGTGCTCCTATCTGGCAAAAGAAAACATGAGATCTCAACAGATGTTACAAACTGATAATTCAAAACCAGGCTTGCAAGTCCCCACGTAACTCTTTTGCGTTAATGAAGATCACACTAGAAGAGAGAAGTAACTGCTTTCAATTAGAAATAAAAAGGATGACAGAATTTATTAATTGTAATGAATGTCATATGCCACAGTAGAGCACGGTTTTAGTTTTGGTGGTCAAAGACAAAGACACAGTGACAAAATCCGATTATGCAGCTGATATATATATATATATATATATATATATAAGAAAAAGGTAAGATGAGTACTGTGAAAGGGGTCGAATTTGACAAACAGTGGGGCGATGGTAGTTTGAAGTGAGAAGTCAACT